AAAGAAAGTATATGAAATATATTTATAACGATAAAAAAATTTTTATATATAAATTTTTTTTTTAAATTTTTTTTTATGAGCTATAGACATTATATTCACTTTGGTCCTGCAATACCATCATTACAGATTATTAGAATATTATCTATCATACGTCCAGCTCACGCTTTGTCAATTGCGAATACTTATATCAAAGAGAATCTAAATTTATCAAGACAAGGCTGAACGAGGATAATTTTGATGTAACTATACAAACAAGCTGCTGAAGGCTTGACAAATTGTCAATTAGTATATAAACTCATTCCATAAATTGATTATACATATATAGTACTAAAGAGCATACTAGATCGTCATCTTATGACTCCTTTCTAAAGCGTATTCCATAAAGACTTGCTCAAAGATCTAGATTTCTCATGATTTTCTCTCCTCTCTCCCCAAAATCGAACGTTTTTAATCTCAGCAATCCATCTCGACTATCCCAACTTTATCTAGCCATAAATTCTTAACAAATCGCACATAAGAGAGTATTTTTCGCTTCGTCTTTAGCAATTTCTTTTGCTATTGTTTTATGCTCTGTTTTCTGTTTTGGCTCGTTGAGTGGCAGCGCGCAGCTGGAGTGGTGTAAACCCGCTGCTGCTGCTGTTGCCGTACATCATTTTGTGGTTCACCTCACTTACGTCCCCTCCCCTCGCCGCAGTATATACGCCATTTTGTTGGCTGGGCTCACAGCGGGCGGCCGATTCCGTACAGAATCCAAATCGAGTTGACCCGCTGCGCAGCAATCGCCCGACGCTTATTGGTGGCTTTATCTTTATCTTTGGCATCGTCCAGCGCTGGCTGCCTGGCAGCTATTGAAGTTGTTCGTGCACATAGATTTCAACGTCGCATTTCCGCATTTCCCTTAAAAGGGAAATTGCTGTATGCACACATACACACACACACACACATAAACTCCCTCACACATACTCGTTCACTCTCTCTCACTCGCCCATCATATGCCAAATGCAGCTTAATTTGAGAACTTTGTTTTGGTTCGCTGAGCTTTGGCTTTCGACCATCGACCACAGAGTGCTGCAATAGCCCTTCAGCAGAGCCAAAATCATCAATAGCTCTGGGCACTTACTCTATAAAAGTAATCGACGAATGGCGTATGTGGGACCTATGAAAGGTATCTCGGCGAAATGGGCTTTAGATTATGCGTAAAGTTGAATTGGCAAATCAAATGGAATATTTGAATATCTTAATGTTATCGATAGCAGATATCGAAGAGTGAGCTTTAATGTTGCCAAAGGCAAGTCATAGGATGGCTAGTGCTGAAATGGCAAATCGAATAGAATATTTTAATACGTGAACTGCGTCGATAATTATAAAATATATCGAAATATGGTTATCGATATGAGTAACATCCTTATGTGTCGGCCTTAATGTTGCCAAAGGCAAGTCATATGATTGCTAATACTGAAATGGCAAATAGAATAGAATATTATAATAAACCTTTGTAATCGATAACTATAGAAAATATCGAAATATGATTATAGATAATGGTAATCCTCTTATGAGTCAAATCAAAGGCAGATGATTGCTAATGCATAAATGGTAAATCGAATCGAATGTTGCAATATGCCAATTTTATCGATAACTATAGCTGTATATCTCACATCTCCCCCATTTAGTTGATCGAAGTAGGTTTGTTGGTTGAGTTGAGCTCTGGATCGTTTTCGTTAGAGTAGTAGTAAAAATCCTAGTTTTCAGTTAAGCTCGATTAAATTTGTTTCGTTTTTTTTTTTTTTTTTCGGGGGCACACGAATAGGAATTACCCATAGGCAATCGGAAAATGGAGCTGATCGAGTGGATCTTGCGGCAGCTGCGTGTGGACACGGTTGACTTTGTGGCCACGTTGGGTTTGGCCATCCTGTTGCATTTTGGCGGCCTGATTTGGGCGCCATTGAGGGCGCATCAGCCGGATGTGAGCTCAGGTCTATACATCTGTGCGGTGCTCCTGCTGCTGTTGCGGCCCACGAATCGGCGGCGTTTCTTGGGGGAGCAGTCAGCTGGCTTCTGGCAGGTCATCTGGCCCAATTCACTGAAGATGACGCTGGCGCTGATGTTGCTGCAGCATGTGGCACTGCTCAGGGTGTGGGACAATGCCGTTTGGGTATTCGACTGCACAATCCATCGCTGGTCGCCCAATGCCCGTCTCCTGCTCTCCCTATTCCTGCTCAGCTATGCCGTCTACCGCTGGCTCCACCAGCTGCGCGACGATACCAACTGTGTTGTCGCAACAGCCACAGCAGCAGCAGTCACAGCCGTAACAGCAGCAGCAGCAGCAGCAGCAGCAGCGGCAGCAGCAACTGGCTCTGCTACGTCTGATGAGTCAACTGGCTCGGATACGCCAAGCAGCGATGCGAGCCCACGTTGTCCCTATTGCTCTGCCATTCTGAGAAGCAGAGGTCCACGGGTCGCAAACGACTCCAAGGCGGCGCCATTAACGCTGAAGGAAGAGCTGCGCAAGCTGATTACCTTTGTGCAGCATCAGGGTCATGGCTATGTGGGCAATGCGTTGACTGGTTTGAAATCCTAAAAGTCATTTTACCTCTTTAACTGGGAGCGGGGCCATACCAAGCTTATATCCTCTCCCATTTTTGCCGACCCCATCTCTATGCCAGCTTCATACACGCAAATGTATATAGTTAGCTAGTTATATATATCTTGTATGATTTTAAAGTTTCAGTTAGTTTAGTCTCTAGTCTAATTAGACATCGATAAGTACAAATATAAATTTAACCTGCCAACTCTCAAGCCAAAATGCACGCTTTTTCATATTCTGGATGAGTCGGAAGATTGAGAGTAGATTTCCTCGTTCTCTTAGT